TGACAGTGCTTTTTTATCCTAGGAAAACTAATTTGCATACTTGAATTAACTGACTTTGAGCTCTTACATCCGAGAGAGAGAGAGTGAGTGAGATTAGACGGGAAGAAGGAAGTAAAAGAGATTGTGAGAAAAAAGGGGAGGAGAGTATGGAGAGGCTTAGAGAGGGAGTAAAAAAGGGAAAAAGGGAGAGTGAAGGAAAAGGAAAAGAAAGTGAGGAAGTGAGAGAAAGCAAGAGAGTAAGAAAGAGAGAGATTAAGTGAGCGAGTGGATGAGAGTGAGTGAAAGAAAGAGCATGAGAGAAATAATAGGAATTATTTATGTATATATGTACACACACATATATAGATATATAGAAAGAGAGAGAGGGAAGGAGAGACAGAGAAAGAGAGAATGACAAGGCCATAGAAAGAGACTTTGACAAGTTTATTGAGACAAAGGGTTACATCTCAAAAGGATGTGGTAACGTATGTTATCCTCACCCTTATCTTGATAAGTCCCTATAATAACATAATAACATGAAATACAAAAACAAAAATATTGAGATACATGGTCTATAAAAGAGAAAGTTCGTGGGCACACCCACAGATGAGCTGTGAGGTACCGTAGGCGACCCGTGTGTGCAGCTGTTATTTGCGAAGGACAGGCACTCAGGTCATCCCCGGTCAGGTCAACTGTTCTTTGTCGTACATATATCGTGAAATCCGGTCTCTGAAGTCTAGACAATAATGTTATAAGGCTCCACTATGCTTTACCTTGCCTTTCCATTCTTCCAGCATATCATTAAGCTTTGCCAAGTTTTGTTCAATTTCCCATCGAGCCAAGAGTTTTGCTTTTTCGTGATCGTTGTACTCCACACTTTTTCGTTCTTTCCCTTTAATAACTATCTCACTTTCTGAATCTTGCTCCTTTGCAGAAATACATGTTTGTATCGTTTCTGTGTCTTTAGTCGGAGTTTCTTTCGTTGCCTCCTCCCCCTCTTTCTGTTTTTCCGTTTCTTCGCTGGGAACCTGGGCCAGTTTCCTTTCGATAGCGTCCATTCTCTGCATCAGCGTCTGGAACATCCTGGTAATTTCGGATATTTCCTTAGAAAAATCCGCACCACTACTCCGCGGCACTTCCTTCACTTCCTGTCCCTGTCTGTCCTGCCCGTCATCACAAGCCATTGGCGACGGCACCACCCGCGGTGGGCCCTGCACCCAGGCATTAGGGACTGCAGCTGTCTCCTCCCTCGGCACCTCTGGCCGCGTGGTGACCGGCCTTTTCCCATTTTCTCCTTCCTTGGGGACCGCCGAAGCAATCTCGATTTGTTGTCTCACCCTGCATGCAGGAGACCCGGCATTGTGGCGGCCTCCGCAGTTGCAGCAGCAAGCGTAACCCTTTCTTCCACTTCAATCTTGGCCCGGCAGACCCTTGAGTCATGTGTCCTGCCACAGAACCTGCATCGAGCATCCTGTTGACAGGCCCACGACTTATGGCCCCATCTGCAGCACTTGAGGCACATGACTGGCGGCTCCACATACGGTGCCACCCTCCTGTACCCCGCTCCAGAGATAAATACCTTCTCTGGCACTTCCCCTTCACAAGGGCAACGAGCTGACTCCGCTCCTCGCCCCTGGACGTGTGCCGCCTTACCCACACAAATCTATCGTCGTCCAGTAGGAAGTCCGGGTCTAATATCGTGGGATATCGGAAAATTATCACCTTGGTGAACTTTTCCCCCGCCTTTGGGACAGTCATCACCCTTGTATCCCTGAGTCGTCAGCGTCTGCACCGCCTGGCCTGCCCGCACCGTGAGGTACGGCCTCCCTCTTCCTTCCTTCATCACTGGCTCGAAATCAGCGTGGTCCCGGCCCGGTTGCATGGCCCACCTTAATTTTTCTAAGAAATGGCGCAGTCCCGTGGAAATAGCAGTCTCTTCCTGTCGTTCACACCCGCAACATTCAGGGCTGCTGCTTCGTTTCCGTCGTTCTTCTTCCTCTTCTCCTGCTCGCATCCATTCTCGTCACTCATGTCTACGCTTCCATCACTTCTTATCCTCTTATGGGATCCACTTCCACTAGCAACACTAGCCATGCTGATACCTTGGTAGGAGGTGACCCGTTCCCTGTCCGAGGTCAGATAGGGGCGGGTAAACACAGGATTCGGGGACCTCACGTCTGCGGACAGTACTGCAAACACGTCCTAGTCCTACGAGAGATGCACCACGACTGATAGAAAGAGAGAGAGGGAGGGGGGAGAGACAAAGAGAATGACAAGGCCAAGTAAAAAAATACCTTTGGTTGAGACTGCCTCTGGAGGTGGGTCGTAGGTCGTTTTTTCTAAAGCCATTTTGATATCGAGACGATGCACGCTCGCCCTATGCAGCGTCGCCGTTCATAGACGTTCATTAGACGTGATGCAGTCCCGATGTTTGCTCAGTGTGCTTTGGTAGTCAGAATTCTAGCCGTTGTGGCAAGAGAGAGAAATATATATATATATATATATATATATATATATATATATATATATATATATATATATATGTATGTGTGTGTGTGTGTGTGTGTGTGTGTGTGTGTGTGTGTGTGTGTGTGTGTGTGTGTACAGGGCCGCCGTCAGCGTTCAGGACCCCGGGGCAAAGAATTGGGCCGGGCCCTTAGGGCCACATCATTTTTAGGTGAGAAACGCCTTTTCCAAATAGGAAATGCCCATTTTTACCTCAAACTTTTATGTTAATATGAACTGTATATTACTCGAACTTACAATCAAGAATATGTTACTAATATCACAACTTGTTTGGCAGAAGATTGAGGACATTTTTTGAACCACTTCCTTATTTTCAATCTTAACGTTAACTACTGTAACGCTGGTTTCGTATAAATACACTATAAATTTGCTGTTAGTTGTTCTTGGGCTCAAATAAGCGACTACTGTAATTTTTTACGGTTTCCTTCCGGGGCCTCGGAGAGAGTGAGATAGCTATGAAAATGTATCAATGTATCGAATTGTTGATTTTATTCGATACATTTTGAGAAAAATACTAAAGCCATGCCGATAAAACAATACTATTGTTGAGTAGCGATGGCGATACCAAATATAAAAACATCGATCGATACGTAATGCCGATACCATCAGCAATAAATCATACGACCACCCGTTTTTTCTCTATCATTTTGAGTGGTACAACAATCAGTCACTGCTAGGCACTGATTGTTTGGTTGATACATCAAACTTACGTTAGACAAGCGGTTCACTGCAACGGCGGAAGTGGGGTTTCATTGACCAACGTTTTTTTCTTTTTTTTTTCTTCTTTTTTTGAGGTCAGTTCTCGAGTCTGTAATGCTCTCAGCGCTAAATTATGATTATTCTTAGATAATACATATTTTCTTGAAGTTGGTCAGAGAGATATTTATTTTTCAATACGTAGTCAGTGTTTTGTGACGATATTGTTTTGAGGTTCCAGAAGGTACTTTTCTATTATACTAAACCTTTATTAGTACAAGCATCTACCCAGAGATAGTATATATCTAGAAAAAGAGTCATTGTCGTGATCAGGTATGCATGATGGGTCTCATCACAAGATGGTCGGGTAGGCAAGGATTGGTAACATTCCGATTCTGTACCAAAAAAAAAAAAAAAAAAAAGAAAGAGCAATGATAACGATAACGGCCGATTGTGTCCGACGCTGATTAAATATTCCACAGTTTTTGCATTTAGCATTGTGGTTATGGTGAACACTAAAGTTGATGAAACTTAATGCCCCCTAACAAGAGTATAAAAAAATCTTTAGTACTGGCTATGGTGAGCCTGAAATAAATGGGGGGAAAGAAACTTACCCCTCAGAGTCATCATGAGAGGTAAAGACGAGGCGATTAACCGAGGGAATATCTTGCCCATGATTCCCGGAGGCCGTTCATGTCTGATACGAAGGAGCTTTTCATCGTTTCTGCGCGGCTTTCACACCCCAGGGAGCGGGCAGAAGAAGGGATGAAGAAGAGAAGGAAAAGGAAAAGGGGAGAAGAAAAGACCCTGCAAAATTAGTTGAGGCGAAGGCTGAGGTCCAAGGTAGGAGTGATCCATACCTTTGGCCTCAGGCTCCATATAGGACATAGCATACTGCATAGCATAGCATACTGCATAACGTATACTACGTAGCATACCACGTGGTCCCCTCGTGGGCCATATCCAGACCGCGTGGTTGGCTACGGTCGACACGGGCACACCCCACGCTCGCTGTCTGCCCCTCGCTTCACCCCCAAACCACGCTCTCTAAATATAGAAGGCCGGCGCTGCTGGTCAGAATATAAGGGAGGCAAGACCTTGACCCATCCTCGTTCGGTCGTTCACTCGCACCTCGACGAGCCGGCCTTTGACCAGGTCGGTCACTCCAGGTCACCCGGCCGAGCAGGGCGTGGGGGCTGCCACTCGCTTCACTCAGCACCGCCAGACACCCTGTTCTTTTATCATTATTCTTGTATCTTTATAACTAGTGCGTGTAACTCTTAGAAATAAAGAGAACAGCCACTGTGAATCACTAGCCGCCACCAGTAATTCAACTGCACAATATAGAAGGCCGTTTTAGTATCTTTTATACTCTGTCTCCTAAGCCCCCCCCCCTCCACGACGACAACAATGATCAAGCGATTGGGGGGGGGGGGGTATAATTCACGTATTGTAATCTCGGAGAATCAATAAAGGTTCGGGCACATCATTTCTTTATATATAGGTTTTTGAATAAATAATTCCCATATCCATTTTCGTTTTCTTTTCTTTCTTTTTGTAGTCAGTTATTCCGTTTCACTCCATTCTTTCGCAAAAGAAATAATATGAACACTAATAATGATTTGATCGCATTTATTTTTCCTTTCCTTTCACTAGGTTCCGTATATACCACATGAATGCCGCAGTGTGGACACAATGAGCGCTGATGGCAATGGGCGCTGGTATTCTTCCGAGGACAGTTGATGATTGATGCAAACACACACACACACACACATATGTGTATGTACGTATGTATGTAT